TGTTGCTGTTGCTGCAGCTTGAGCATTTGCTCTTTTAGCGCAGCTTCTGCGGGCGTTTGTCGCCGAACAGCGAGCGGAACCGCGAGCGGAGCTGCGACGCAGTGAACTTGGCCAGAGGTGCGTACTCGTCGACGCCCGTGCGGCCCGTGGCCAGCATCTCCCAGCACACCTTGGACAGGTGGCGACAGCGAGGATCCTTGACGGCATGCTCGAGCTGTCGGATGTTCTCGTCGCTCCACGCGTCTATTTTGACGGGGTTGGTGGCTGGCAGCTCGAATTGACGCAAGTAGGCGTTCTGCAGCTCAGCGGCCATGAATTGGGTCAGAGGAGCGAATCGGTCTTCTTTCATGCCGCCCGTGGCTAGCACCGACCAATAGATCTTTTTGCCACGACGGCACGGATTGGGACGCGGCAAGTTGACCGCTTCGTACAGCAACTGCAAGTGCTCTTGCGGGAGCAGACGCAGAGGCATACTGGGAGGTACGGGCGACGACACCCCACCGAAACTCATCCGGTTGCCGAACACATCAGTAGTACCAACGAGATTGACGCGGTTCGTGTCGTTCTCACGGCTCAGAGTCAGAGCACCCGGCGCCGAGTATCGTTGCTGCAACTTCTCAGCGTCCGTCGGCTCGATCAGCGCCTCCAAGAAGCTGTCGTAGGCCTGCACGTCGAACTCGTTCTCGCGCTGGATGTCCAGCGGTTGAAGCAGTGCGCTCGACGATCCGGCAGTGTACACGTCGGGGCCGTGGGTGCCGTACTGGTAGCTGGCTGCTTGCAAATGGTGTCGGTTGATGGCCGACTGGATACAGTGCGCTATGAGGCGGCCGTGGCCGATCTTGAAGACGGCAAGAGCACGTTGGTCGTGCAGGATGAACTCGAGATCCCGCACCGCCGAGTAGCCCAGACGGCACAGGTACTCAGTGTACTCGAAGATGTTGACCTTCGGGATCCCGCAAAGCTCCATCCATCGCGATACCGTGTAGTTGGGAGACAACACGCCGGGGACCTGGAACCGCCGGGCTTGGAAGTCACGGTGCGCCTGTTGCCACACGAGCTGGGCGTCAGCGATACCGGCGTGCTGCAGTTCACTCACGACCGCGAAAGCTAAGGCTAGCACCGAGTCGAATCCGTCCTGAGCGAGTCGCTGCGTGGCCAGCGCCAACGCCGCCTGGTCCTGCGCGAGTTGCAGGTTCTTGAGGAAGGTAAGTACGTCGTCCGTGGAGACGGCAGGCGGGTAGCTGTTCGGGGTGAAGTACCCGTTCGAGGCGGCCGGATAGGTCACGGCCGACGAGGTGGTTGCTAGCGACAGTGAGGCCGAGGACACGATAGTGGACGGGGCGTTGTTGCCGACCTCGAAGCCGGCGAAGTCGAGCTTTAAGTCCCCCGGAGTGGAGAAGGACGCGGATGGAGACGATGGAGCCGACGGTCGCTGGCGCTTGCGATTGCGCAGCTGAGCGTCGCTGTCCAGTGGTGTGATGGTCACAGCAGCGTTGAGCTGTTTGAGCTGAGGCCAGGAAGAGAGCCCAGCGCTAGCAGACGAGGGCGCGGACGACGACGGGTCTGCGACGGCGATGTCTTGGAGCTCGCTGTTATTGTTGGGCTGAATAGGTCGTATTGCGCTCGATCACTTGCAAAGCTTCCGGCGACTTGGTGCCTAGGACACTCCTTCACTCGCTCGGCGGCGGCCTTCTTGGCGAGCGTAGCTTGCACAGCGCGAGGCGAACTGGATTGTGGGGCCTGGGTGAAAGAGTGCCCCAAGCCGAAACGTTTTATTTCTCTCTACACAATAAACATGTCCATGCATCACGCTCAAAACCGCATCTCTCGCAGCGCGCCCAGAGAAAGAACTTGCACATCCCCCTCGCCCAAAGTATTTACAACACTATCCATGCAGTGTCGAAATCCAAAAAACTCGATGATCTTCAGAGGGTTCTTCACTGCATCGTGGCCGGTCGAAGCACTCTGTTCATACTGATACAGCGTTGTAGCTAGCGTTTAATGCAGTAAGCTATTAAAAAGGCTAATACAACCTCAGCAGCCCCCACTGCAAATATGATAACGCCTCCAACTGCTGCCTTGTGACTGCCTAGCCAGCTGGCACAGGCAAGTGACGCATAGCGCCGTCACCCGATGTATGTGGCATACATACTGTGTCGGCAACAGCAGTGCTGTTACGCTGTAACTTACAGCACTCTCCGAGCAAGATGCTCGTCCGTATTAATGGTGGCGCGCGTCCATTGAGAAGCGATTTAGCCGATGCTCCCAGCGTATAATAGCGATCGTCGCCATTTATTTGTGTAGGCTGTGTTGGCCTACCCTCGTACAGTACTGGCGATGCTGACTTGACAGTGAACTGAAGTGACCGCAATACCGCGACTGTTGATATTGGACCTAGCAATCGTGATGGCGGCTTTCCAGCGAGTGGATCGGGTACATACATGTATATGTACTTAAAAAAAACTCCGTGACGAAAGCTTCAGGATACAGCGACGAAGTCCTTGCTCGCTAAAAATGTGAAGACGTTGGTGGAGCTGCAGGCGCGGCGTAAATTACAGCGCCTCCTGTCTCTACGCCGCACGTATCTGGCGCCCGTCTTCGGTGCCGGCTGCACGGTCACAGCCAGAGCGATTGCCGTGGTGAGCTAAGTTACGGACGCCTGTTCCAGCCTGGAAGGAAGCGAGTGAACTTCACT